ATGAATTTTCCTCTTCATTATCTTACGAATACCCCTCCCTAGACATTGAAAAAAACATCATAGAGGATGAGATATGTATGGATTCATTTTGCGCATGATCAGAAAGTCACACTATTTGCTACAATTCTCCCGAACGCTTCTTGTTAACCTTTTAACTCCCAGAAGTGATGAACATGTAACTTCTTCCTATGATATTCATTCGTTTTCTAGCAAACGGTTTATGAGAATACTCAAACTAATCAGGAAAAAGTTTTTACCTTGATCTTACAACAAATTCTCGTAACTAATTTACAAGGAATCGTGTAGCAGCAAGAGGAGAGAATTAGCAATCAGATCTTGGGAGTTAAAGGGGTCAAGTCATTAACCTAACAGCGTCGTGGTTGATGTCTTGGTGTACCAATCCTGTTCGTTGATTTTCGGATCAGTGCCTTTCCTAGAATAAGCGACTCTACGAATAAGCACCCCACTTATAACTCTCGACTTAGAACAGGCTGTAAGAGACGAAAATATTCCCACAACTTCCAAAAACTTAATTCGTGAAATGAAATAAAGAATTCGACACTTTTCTGAGATTTTGAACTTTCCATTTTACACAACTAATACAAGAACAGCGCACAGTGAACAAGATTCTAATCTTAAAAGTCACATGATTCGATTACGTAATCCGATAAAAGAAGGGTACAAATCGCGTGCAAAATCCTATTTTCAAAACAAGCGCCTCATCTACATCCGCAGTTTTCATTAACGAATACTGAGACAAAAAAAAAAATAAAATAAAAAAAAATTGAACAGCTTGTGCAGTATAGGACCTGCACATTTATGAGTTCAAACTGTGCCGTCACAGTTTTTTGCCTCTTTTTTCCCCACAGTTCACCGGCACACAATTGTGTTTCTGAGTTGAAAGAAGCTTTAGGATATTAAAATTACTTCTCCAAGAACGAAACGCAATGATCCTAGTTAGGTTTCAAACCCGAAAATTTCGATCTTGAGTCCGATATGCTAACTATAAGCCCAACATTTCTCCCAAACTTGAGGCTTAGGTGAAGGCATAAAAAAAAAATCTCAAGTGAAATGATCCGAAACGCAGGTACCCGCACAAAGAACTAAGAAGATTAAGTAAGAATGGTATCTTTCAAATTTTCCTATAACTGGTTTGATTATCACACTAATCTGTGTGTTTCGGAGAGATTTTATGATTGTTTATGTTTTCCTCCAGTTCTCTATAATCCTAGCCTCAAGGTCTTGGTTTGAATGAATTAAAAAAGGAGTGTCAAACACTTGCTAGTGAATAAACACAAATGATTCAATAATGTTCCTGAAATTAATTGTATTTTGTACTTTACCAACAGGCCAAGTACAATTAAATAATAGTGAATTTGACAGTTAGCAAGACTAGAGGATGTTAGAGCTTGAAAATGGTGATTTTTAGCTGCTTGCAGATACAAAATTACGAGAACAAAAACTTTTAGCGAAGTATTTTAGCAGTAGATACTATAGAATATAAACCGCAGCTTTCGTGATGTTTCTCTCGAAGATGTCTCCTGCAGGGCCGTAGTGTAGCAAAACAATACAAAATCATAAAACAAAAAGTTTGAAAGTCGTAAGTTATAAAATAAATAACAAAATGATTCAAAATTTGGATGTTGCTTTAAATTTCCAGCAGAGGGGTTCCCGGTGGTATCGTTTTGCTAATATCAATGGTTCGGTACCGGCCGTATTACACCCGCTGATATTAAGTTCTGTTGTCTTCTTGACACACCAAACTTTACTTCACGTGTGAAGATCAACGAGTCTGTGTATTTACACTAGAGGCCTTGACAGGAACCTTTGAGCAAAATTTAACTAGTAGAGGCCATAACTGACAAATTCATGCCAAAAGGCCCATAAAATGCAGACGATCCTTCCCTGTGTGCTAATGAAAAATAGTGCAAATCGCCTAACGGACAACAGAATAATTAAAACCTACCTAAATCTTTGCAGGTTTTGAAACAATCCATAAATTTCAGTCAAGATTTGCCTCGTACAAGGATTTCATCCCTAAAAAAATTGAGAAGGTAGCGGTATTGTGCCAACGACTCCCCAGGAAGACTCGAGAAATCAAATATTCTAAGAGTCTATGGCCGAGTAAGTCTTGTTGATCTTATCGTTAAATTCCTTGAACACTTAATCAACTGAACTCAGTTAGTCAAGTGTAATGTTCTGCAACGCTACACTTGGTTATCAACGGCCGTTGCACAAACAAACAAATAATTCAGGGTAAAATCGACCCAAATCATCTTCAATTAGTCTCGAAAACCATAACTTTGCTGAAAGTTCGAAACTTTCGGCGAGGAAACCAGAGGATACGTTACTGCGACCTTCAAAGGTTTACTTCAAAAGCTTAACAGAATAATTTCTTCAAAAATTTACCTCATCAGCGCTGAATCAAAAAATGATAAGGTCTCGTTTCTGGCTTAAAAAAAAGGCAGGAATGAGAAAAAAAATAGTCAAGATCATTTTTATATACAAAGCGGAAGTTAGAATAAACTCTTTCTTCTCAACTGTTTCGAAGTTGTTGGGTTAAATGTCAGCCAAGTTTGAGGAACCACGCCTTCACAGTTGACCTGTAGGTGACATCAATGATGTAATCTTTTCATGGCTTGTGGCTGGGATGTTTCAGCGATGAGATCTTCTTGCTACGCTTGCTATGGGCCCCTGAGCACTAAGCTTAGGGGTAATAGTTTAATTTCACCATTTATGGGATTTGGAAGGAAAAACACAATCTTCTGTTTTGGGAAGCAACAGGCAAAATCGCGCGTTTCTTTTACGAGTGAGAAGTCTTTTCGTTCTACCTCTGCAAACCTCGACACTTTGTAGGGATGTTGACAAAAAAATCAGCACTTTGAGTGACCTTATCATTTCGTTGTAATACTCTGTGACTAGCGTCACTTGATATTTCGCACCTATTAGTACTTAACTCTCATGAGTGACCAAGAAATAATTTCTCCTTACAATACCAATACAATATCAAGGAAACAAGTGATGAGAATAAAGAAAAATGTCAACTAGCGTATAACTAATTGATCCAATAACAAATTTTCAGAGCTAAGATAATAAGAATGACCGGGTATAGCAGACAGTAAGGAGAATTACGAATGAGATCTTGGGGTGAAAGGGTTAAGACGCCGGTATGACCCCGTGTAAGATTCGCACTAACACCGCGTCAATTAAGTTTAAGAAGCAAGTATAGCTGAAAACTGTTAAAGAGAAAATAGAACATTATAGATTCGCTAGACGCAGTGGGAGGTGGTGAAGTCTTCGTAACCCGGTTAAACCATGCGCTAAATCAACAACAGGTCACACCATGCTGCGCTTGATGGAACTGAGTGCTGAAAACCCTCTGAAGAGCCCCCCTCCCCCCCCCCTCTAGGGAGGGAAGGGGGGGCTTTTCAAGGAGAGACGTATCAAGAAAAGCGGATCAGCTTAGATTAAACGATTAACAATGACCGTATATGGCTACTTTGGAACAATGGCGGAAACAGCTTCACAGTACACGTGGGATTTTTCAAAATTTCCTATTATCATACGAGCGGCAGATTTAAACCATCGGCAAAACTGACGATGAGACAAATCCTCCCCGTGGGGGTGATTCTGGTAGATTTTTTAGGATGCAAATAGTCACGGTGGGGTGGATGGTGGGGCGACTGTAGCTTTCGTGTCTGAAATAAAGAGATGTCACTGTTTTTTCCTTTATATTGCTTAAAACTGGCGAAAGATATATTCAATTAGAGGCTCACTGTGCGTTGCAAAGGTAATGAGAGCATGTGTGACCTGGTATTAGCGTCCGAAGCCTACCGCGCCGTTGAATCACGTAGAAGACTATCGTCATTTGCTCGATTGTTTAATGTGCGTGTGTTTAAATTGAGGAGTGGATCAAAAACTATACACGAGCCAAGAGATTATAATCTCGTGAAAAGAGATTTAAAATGCGAGTAATTATTTTTCTTATAAACAATCGTCTAGATTCATTGAAATCCAGATAGGGAATGTATTGTAGCGTTAGTAATCTTCGATATTAAAAAAAAAGAAACTAATACAAGCCTTCCAATGCCAGTCAAGTCAAGCACAATTTGGTATTTCTCTTTATGGAAAAGTCAACTGGACACGATAATGTAATGTGATAAAAATCTCCACCCTGTTTCTCCACCTATCCCCTGAGACAAGTTCCAATTGATATCTTATTCAGGAGCAATTTTCTTTTCTTTTCGGGGAACATGCTGATGTTCTCTTGACTTTGTTTAGTGCTTGGTGCGCTAGTTCTTACATATTTGGCCAACAATCACGCGCAGGTACAGCTGTCCAATCTCAAATCTTTCGTTAAAAAAATAAAAACAACAAAAAACAACGGTAATTGGGCGCCAAAGCTATTAGCACATTAATGGTGTGTAAATCAAAGAATTTAATAATTGTGATCGCATTAAGTGGTCATGGCTCCGTAAGGAGGAAATTCTTAGCAGCCGTCATATTTCATGAGAGCAACGGTGTGGAAGCAACATTTTAAAGAATCTTGTGAATTATGAACACAACCAGGATCAAAGTCGTGGAATCTCTTTTAAAAATACTTTTCCCTGTTAAACAATAATTTTGCTGTTTCAAGATAAAAATGAAAAATTGAGAGAAACAAATTGAGCCAGTGTTTGAATGTAAGAACTAGTAGAAAGAAACTTTACCAGCCTTTACCAAACTAATTGACCGCAACAAAGTTGAGAGAGCTTATTTACTCCAAATTGCACTATTAATCATTTCATAATTTGTTAAAAAAACACTTTTAATCTCAATTTCCCGCGCTCAAATTTCACTTCCTGTAGCGCTTGGGATTGGTGAGCGTTCTCTCAGCCAATGAGCTAGCGGAAAATTGTTTTTGTATAATTTTCAACCAGTAATGTTTCTGTAAATGTGATACAAAATTACTTTTGCCATCATTCCATGATTTGTTTGATCATTTTTGGGCAAATACAATTATGAATGCGATAAAAGTTGGAAGTAACCTACAACTTGCCATAACACGTCAGAAGTCTGTCCAAAAAAAAGAGATGAAATCTGTGGCGTTTGTTGCCGTATTTCTCGTAATTCAAAGAGGTCAGTGAGTATGCCATTTAAGAATTCTCTTTGTTACTAATGAAAAACAATTTAAAAACTCCTCAATGATTTTTACAACGATCTAGTTGCTTTCAAACTACATAAACAGCTTCGTCGATGTAGCAAGTTCTCTTTTTTTGCTATACTTTGAGATACTTTAAACGTAGCTTACGGTTGACAAACTTAGCAAGGTTTTTACACTTGCTGTAATTTGCGAATAATCTGCCAATTTTTTCCTTGTGGTTCAAAGTTTGAGAATTGATTCAATGTATGATAAAATGTTGGTTATAACTTACCACTCTCTAAAGATTCAACTTTCGCAAACCGAGCACCAGATCAAATAAAAAAACTGATGCTTTTAAAAAGCCATTTCCTGCTCTGTTCATCAACTGGTTGTTTAGTAGTCGGTTGCATGCAAATTTTCAGTTGTTATCTCACCATAAGGGCGCATTGATGATTACATTTAAGAAATTTCATACATCTGAGACATTTCACACCAAAGCACGCGTAGTTCCTTTTCTCCAAGAAATCCTGTGTCATTTACTGAATGACAAACATTTTTATTTCATATTTCAATTTCATCCTGTTCCGATGAAGATTCAAACGTGCGATTATGTTCATTTGGTCTTGTATTCAATGAACACGCTTTATAAACGTTACTGCTTGACTTGATCACACCATTTCAATCATTCGATTTTATGTCGATGTTCTATTAAAATCTTGTTGCTGCAAATGCCTTATGAGCCGTTTTTTGTCTGTTATTTACAGCCTCTGCCCTCAGATGTTATGACTGCAAGCCTGGCAACAACAGCGCTGCTGGTTCAGCAATCATCTGCAGCAAACCAGTTCAGACTGTGGAATGCAGTTCAGACTTTGATTCTTGTTCGATCCTAAAAGTTACTAGTGATGAATTAGACATGTATTACCTCGATTGCTTCTTGAAATCGTTTTGCAGTGAAGCGCAAAAGAACCTCTGTGAAGTAAGCACTCAAGGTCTCCATGGTGCTAGTTGTGATATGTCATGCTGTGAAACTGATTTGTGCAACAAACCCAAAGAATCCTCGACCTCAGGTACATTGAGCCGTGTTCCAGCGAGTGCCGCCATATTTGTGATTCTGAGTGTAATAGCAATGGTACTCGTGGACATGATTTGAAACATTTTGTTAAATATTAGCTCAAAGAAAAGAATTACTAAAACTACTTGCTAGTGATTGTCGAGTTCGGGTTAGTCAAAACTTATCACAATGATTAAAGACGCTGCGACTTTCCTTAAGATAAACTATGTAATCATTAGTGAAATGATAGATATAGATTCGAACTCCCTCATTGATTTATGTCTCTATTAAACCTCAGGCTTTTTAGAAGGAGTTTTCTACTACTTCATTTTAATTTTTCATCCACACTCCTGGAATTTACGTAACGTGAGAAAAACTAGAAAACGGCGCGCCAACTTCGAATTAAGCTTGAAGGTGTTACTTTAGGTATAGGTGTAATTTTTTACGTTTATTTGGAAAGGTCGAATCGATCGAATTTCTTTCCGCGTTTCACTACCGTAATTTCTTGAACCGATTACAATAGTAAGGAAGGCGAAGGCCTCGTTAGACCTTCAACTTCCACGAGTGACCGAGAAAGAATTCCTCCTACTAATATCAATACAATAACAAACAGAAAAGTGATGAGAAGAGAGGAAAAAATATCAATTAGGGGGTTTTTAGTTGATCAAATACCAAATTCTCCAAACCAACATCATAAAAACTGTATGACAGGCAGTGAGGAGAATTACTCTTGAGATCTGGGAGTTCAAGGTTTAATCCTCATCTAGGAAAAATACACATCTTACCAAAGAAAACGCATATTACTATCAGCGCTGAAAAATATATTTCTTTATTTAAAATAATATTAACTAGATACACGGAGCACAAAAATTCCTTGATAGGAAAGTTACCCATTTCCAAACTTAAGGTTTCAAGGCTCCGATAAAGTTTCGGCAAAAACAAGCGGACAGTTTATTTCGGCCATTCGACGAACAAAAAAAAATGAAATTAAAAAAAAGAAACGCACCATAATTGAAAAAGAAAAAGGAAAATCTACCTGACAACTCAGAAAAATACACATCATGAAAGGAGGTGTGCAAAGATCAACTATTTCCATAAAAAAAATGGAAGAAACGAAAGCAAAGAATCAGTCGAACCAATAGAATTGGTAGAAGCAATTTGTGAAGACTCTTAAAAAAATTTGCTAACCGCGTTTGAGTATTTATAGTAATGATAAAACCACAGAGAGACCATACCAAACATGAATAATTAAGAATGAAGGAATCTTCGCTGTTAAATGCTACGATGTTCACTTTGGATTTCTTTTCATATTTTGTATAAAACTATATGGGATAATTTGACAGCGAATCTAAGCTTTAAGTAGCATCGACATCTCCTCTTCAGAGCTACATACAATATATTGATGTCTCAAAAACAAATCGGATGATCATGAGAATTTAAGTAGAGTAAGTGAACTTTCTCCTTCATTTCATTTGCTTCTTATGCTTCAAGTTCACAGTTGAACATGCTTAGAGCCAGACTTCGAGCTTTCTCTGAGGGGAAAAAAAAGGAAACAAAATCAGAAATCATTAGATATTATCGCTACTACTTCGCCTAACGTGGTACTACGCTTCAGCAAAATGTGAGAAGACACTTCACCCAAGCAAAGGGAAGGGTTTCTCGGCTATAGGAACTGCAACGCCAACAGTGGTGTCACAAGCCAGCGTCAGTAGATGCAATGACGTCAAACCCCAAGATGTTTTATACTAGGGCCGCGATCGCGGGTTGTGAGCTTGTGTCAGTACAGACGTGAGCTTGGGCCGCCTGTGGTGTCAGTATATCACTACTATTTTAGCCTTGAGGTTGTTAAAGAGGAATCGTTTTTACACTATCACCGGCCTTAGTTGTTTTTTTTTTTTGCTTTAGCCCCGTGCAACATTCCCTTCAACTTGAATGAAACTACAAAATGTTAGTTTAGCCAGAGAGATGAACACCCAAAAGGAAATAATCAAAGCTACTTGAAGATCGCAAGTTGATGCTGATTAGCGATGACAACCTCGGACGGGCAAATATGAATTGTTTAACAATCTCAAACTGTAAAGGAACACCTTCTTGTCCCAGCATATCCAAACCGTTGCTAGAGGCGAGAGGGTAGGCCTAAACTTTTCGAGCAGGGCTGGGACAATCCCGCCTAAAAGCAGTAGAAATATAGTTAACAGCAGATGTTCACTGGAAAATTTAAGGATCTAAGGGTAACATTCACCATACCTTGTAGACCTCGTGATAGGCGTTCCTCAACAAAGCGTAAGGAAAACACGATTCTAACACGTCCATTGTAAGGTACGGACAGTCTTTGACGATCTAAGCACAAATATAAACGGGAAAACAACAATGTAACTAACATCAAAACAGACTCTCTGAAGAATCATACACAAGCTAACGCTAAACTGTAGAATACACAATCACTGGGGAAAAAAAGAAAAAAGGTACTGCTTGAAATGATGCATGACATCGACACAAACATAAAAATAACTTTACAAACCAGGTCTAACAGCAGATAAGTGGATTCTCGCGCCTTCAGATCCTTTTCTGCCTCGATGCCAAGCTTCAACAAACTGGAGGACGCGATCTAAAAACAAAGGTGACAGCATATAAGCACTACAGAGGTAACAGAACATACCATGCCCACATTGAAAGTTGAGAACTAGTCTTGATCTATACGATATCCATCTTTAAGACAAATGTCAAGATCTTGCAGCCAAAGTGTCAAGGCAGAGGTTCTTAACACTTTTCTTTTCTCCAATCTTCGCAAAATTTAGTTAAAGATACATTACCAAGTCATTTCCCTGTTAGCTGACAACTTTATCAACCCTCTGACCCCAAAGAAAGACTAGCATTGAATTTCTCCTGACAGCTTCACAGCCGAGTCACACATGAAGGTCAGGAAAATAAAGGAAATGATCACCAACTGAATACGCCCTTGATCTTCAAACAAATTCCTCTCGTTTGTATCATAGGGAATTTATAGAGAACAGTTTAGAGAACATTCCTGTTAATTTTTTGATGTTAAGGATTATTAGCTTCCGGTGCCAATTTGTCCAAAGCTGGGTTAAAATAACCCAGGGTTAGTGTGACATCTGATTTCAGATCTAACTTGAAAATCTTCAAAAGAAAATTCAATATAATTCTTTTGGTCTACAGTTTGATGATTGGATGCTCTGAAGCCGGATTAAAATTCAACATTGTTTTAGTGCTAATCTACCTTCCAACAACTGGACCTAGGCTACTACAGACGTTTAAAGAGAGCAGCTCATTCCAAGTACTTACAGCCAAGAATTCTCTGAGTCTTTCCTCCGCACTATCTCCATTGTTGAAGCACAAGGCGCCTGCCACACGACTGATGGACGCTGACATACAGTGGGCGTTGTTTTCATGCGCTGAAAGAATAGAAAAATTGCTACCGAATAAGTAACGGTTTCTTCACTCATGCAGTAACATTTCAACTTCGAGATCTGATGAGTAGTTACACATTTCCTTGTTAATTCACTCTATACATTGTTACCTTCCAGGTCAGCATTATAATCAGAAGAGTCTCTGTAGGCCAGTGATGGAAGCGCCACAGCCACGAATACCTACAAACAGCCACAAAAACATTTCATTGGTGCTTTAAATAGAAAACCAACCTTAAAAATTTGTGGTCAATATCGTAGATCAGAAAATTTACCAATACTGACAATATTAATGAAGACTCCTAAGAAAATAAAAACAGGATGGAATCGAGTTATTCCATAGTTTTTGACCAGGTCTGCAAAGAATTGGCTGAAGTCGAAGTTGTGTTGGTACAAACAACAAACGCAGAGTGGAAACCATCATACCAGACAATCGTTGTTCGTTCCATTCCACTCACACTACAGATTTTGGAAAAAACTGACCAAAGTAAAATCTAAAAAAATTGCAACATAATCTCTTCTCCAAGCTTTAAGCTTTTAAGACAGAAGACTTACCAAGAACAATGCCCAAACCACAGAATCTTCATCGGACTTCTTTTCTATAACAAAAAGAAAAGAAAAATACATTAGGCAAGTCACAATGAAAAGAAACTGGACTCATACAATTTATCAAGAAAAATGGGGTGGCTAATTTGAGGAGCCGGCACTATAGTAGTGTTTTCGTGAACCACTTCTCTCTGGTTCGCTCACGAAATACTTCCTCAAAATCGCCAGCTTTGCAGGTAAGATGTGACTGAATAAAAACTTAGTTATTCTGGCAGTGTTATCAATACCTCAGAAATAGTATCAGTCGACAATGGTTAAGAGGAGGAAGGGCAGCACAGAGATATGAAATCTCAACTCATGACAGAATACAGTCTTGAACGAAACAAATAAAGCCTTTACCTCCTTCCTGTTTCAGTTAAGCATCCATTACTGAGGACGATTGCTATTATCAGTAGTCAAATATAATAACTAACGTCATGAATGGCTGTATAGGAGTATATACCTGACCGTAACACTGCACGTATATACAACCACGCATGACTTATCTGTAAGTAATGCGTTCACAAAAAAAACTCACCTTTGTGGACGCGAAGAGCTTCACAGAGGACTGGGTCTAGCTCGCACTGGAGGCCAGCTGATGTCGCCATTTCCTCTACAAGCTTAAACAACAAAAACTTGGAATTATAGAGCTGTAATAATCAAGATGATATCAGTAAAATGTTGACAACAAATGTCATTGATAGTTAAATCAGTTAAGCAAAACTTCACGACATCGAAAGTATTTTCATGTAAAAGGAAACTCTTAGTTTTGGTTCAGTGAGAAAGAAAAACACAGAAGGGGGAATAATTAATTAACAAGGAAGTATAATAAACATCTTACTAATCTCGTTTTCTCGGTCCGTGCTGTAAGTTACGGTAACTCGTTCTAGGTCCGCACTAGGTCCGCACTTACAGCGCGGATTTCGAGCTCGGTTAGCTAGTGGCATCACTTACCGGGCGATCATTGTTTCCGTGAGGAAAATGTTCTTTGAAATCCACGATACAGTTCATCAAGAATGGCACTCTCTTTTTCAAAACCTAACCGTAAATATTCGATAAATATTTATTAGGTATATAGTATAATATGTATAGGTATATGTATATCCTATCTGTCGAAAACATAACATCTAAGCAAGCATAATCTGAAATAATTTTTGGAAAATTTTTCGACACGTTTAGCTAAATTGTTATAAACGTAACAAGATACAAACGTACAGTTTCCAAAGCTTCTTGTGTCAGAGAACGGAAAGTCAAAATCACTCCAACAATTATCACTCGGATAATCAAATCTTCGATATC